CGCCACGTGAGCAACGCAGCACCGCACGCACGCACGTACGCACCGCAGGCAGCACACACACAGAAAAAGACAGAGAGAGAGAAGAGAAGAGAGAGAGAGACATACCGAAAAAGAAGAGAGCGGAGAGAGAAAGAAAGAAAAGAGAAAGAAGAGAGAGAAGAGAGAGAGAGAGAGAGAGAGAGGAAGAGAGACGCACACATACACATACACGTGTGCGAACGATGTTATCTGAAAACTGAAAAGCGCGTTCCTTCTCTCAATGATGTCTCGTCGCTCCGCCGGGACACCATGAGATAGAGAGAGAGAGAGACGAAGAGAGAGAGAGAGAGAGAAAGAGAGAGAAACCAGGCAGCGCTGAGCCTAATGGCAGCATCCATCACCGGGATCAGCAGCAAATGAAATTCTGGCTTCAAATGTTTGATGTCCACATGCACCGCTGACTGCCCAAGCTATTACCACCTCACTAATCTCCCCACTACCTACATAGCACTACCGCCTACATATGTACCACTACCTACGCAGCTAGCATACATACAGATATACACTCTCTAGTCGGATTAAACGTGAATAGACTTACGTGGAGTCTAGAGACTTACTGGATTCGTCGCCCGTCGTCTATCCATCTAACCATCCATCATCGTCGTCCGTCCGTCCGTCCATCCATCCATCACATTCATCCATCATCCATCATCCATCCATCCATCGCATCATTCCATCCATCCATACATGCATCCATCATCCATCCATCCATTCATCATCATCGCATCCATCCATCCACCCATCATCCACGCATCCATTCCATCCATCCATTCCATCCATCCATCCATCCATCGCATCCATCTCCATCCATCGCACTCCATCCATCCATCCATCCATCCACGCATCCATCCATCCATACTCCGTCCCATCCATGCCATCATCCATCCATCCATCCATCCATCCATCCATCTATCATCCACGCATGCATCAACCCGTCACCACCCGACGTCTGATGTCGCTGTTACTTCTGTGCGTACAGTGCGTACAGGGTTGACATATGTGTTAGACCTAGCAGCGAGCACGCATGAGAACAACACGGGGCAATTAGCTGTAGTCGGAGGGAATTCGAGGAAATTAGTGTGCGAGGGGTTTAGCCGGCTGTTTATTGAAAATGCGATCACCGTGCACGCAAGAGTCGTAAATAATCTTGTCATGACGGGAAAGACAGAGGCAAACATTGGTGAGTGTGTGTGTGAGAGAAAGAGAGAAAGAGAAAAAAAGAGAGAGAGAGAGAGAGAGAGAGAGAGAAAGAAGAGAGAGAGAGAGAGAGAGAGAGAAAAAAACAGAGGGAGAGAGAAAGAAAGAGAGAGAGAGAGAATGAGAGCAGAGAAACAGGAGACACAGAACGAAAGAGAACAGAGGAGAGAAGACCGAGAGCGCGCGCTCAGGGGGGGGGGGGTTAAGTTCATTTATATTCCATGCTAATGAACGCAGAGCGCGCGCCGAGTACCGCGAGGCACGCTAGATGTCGCTGAAACCTGCACGTCATCGACGTGTTCCTTACCTTCCCCTTATATATTCTCCTTCTCCTTCTATATTCCTTATTCTCCTTCTATTTTCTCATTTTCCTTACTATATTCCTCACTCTCCTTCTAATATTCCTCACTCTCCTTCTATATTCCTATTCTCTTCCTATATTCTTCCTTCTCCTTCTATGTTATTCCTTCTCTTTCTATATTCCGCCTCTCCTCTATATTCCTCTTTCTTCCTTCCTATATTCTTCCTTCTCTTCTATATTCCTTCTCCCCTTCTTATTCTTTCTTTTCCTTCTATATTCCGTGCCTTCCCCTATCTATATCCTTCATTCTCCTTCTATAATAGCTGTCACCCGACCGATGTCGGGCTATACACGCAGACGCAGGAAATATAACAAATGTGACGTAAATTCGGGTCGACGTCAGTGTCGCTCGTCATGTGGGAGAAAAGAAAAGGCGGTTAAACGGAGAAGCGATATCAGCGTTCGACTAGTGTTCAACCTTGCAAATTATACGCAATGGCACACCAGCAGTTGCCGTGATTGGCACGTGTGTGTTGTGTGTGTGTGTGTGTGTGTTGTGTTGTCTTTGTGTGTGTTGTGCGCGCGCGCGTGTGTGTGTGTAGTATGTGCGTGTGTGTGTGCGTGTGTGTGTATGTGTGTGTGTGTGTGTGGTGTGTGTGTGTGTGTGTGTGTGTGTGTGCGTTGTGTGTTTGTTTGTTTGTACGTACACGGTGCGTGTGTATGCCGCGTAGTTAGAATCTGTCGTGACTGGAGGTATATTATGGTCATACAGAGATGTATGAACACTTTCCTCGCATGCGCTCCTCCGCCGTGCATGCGTCTCTGTAATCCACATCCATTTCCCACACACCACAAACCACCACAACAAAGCACCCACCAACACAACACACACCAACACCGAACACACACACGACACAACACACACACACACACCACACCACACCACACACACACACACACACACACACACACACAGCACTACAGCACAGATCCACACACACGACACCACACCACACACACACACACAACACACATACCACCCATACCACATACACATACACATTA